TTAATGAAAATTATATGTTAGAAATTGAACAAAAAATTAAACAGAATCAAGGAGAAAAGTAAACACTTGGACTCATTTAATAATGAGTGTCTCGAATCAATTTTTGATGCAATCTTTCCTATCCTTCTATAGACATACATTTTCCATATAACTATAAATATGAACATACATCTGAAGTAAATGATTTCGTCGGATAGAAATTTTTCTTTGTTGAATTCTATTTTTTATTCAGTTGCACACTTTCTAAAATAATCCAGTAAAGTGCTATCTGTCTTAAGTTTTTATGTTAACTCACCTACCTAAATTTGATTGAGATTATGAATCGATCGATGGTCGCGCAATTACGTGGATTGGTTGAAGTTAAACATTAACACCGTTGGGTGCCGGCTCAGTGGTCTGGGGTTTAAGCGTTCGCGCACGAGACCGGAGGTCCTGGGTCCGAGCCCCGCGTACAGGGTCGTGGGTGATCACTGCTGAAGAGTCCCATACTCGGATGAGACGGTCGTCCAAGTTTTCCATGGTGGTCTAACATCGATCGATTCATGATCTCAATCAAAAAATTATTGTTTTAACTTACATTAGCATGAAAGTGATAGCTGATTAATTTAAAAAACAGTCGAATGAAACACATGTGGTTAAATTAATTTTTCAAAATAGAAGCGTATATATGTATAGGTGTTCTTTGTTTAAACACATGAATATGTGGAAAAAGTAAACCGAAAATAGTAATAAAGGTTTGAGTTACGTCTGGTATTTAATTTTAGTTTGGATTTATTTTCTACAGTAATGATAAATAATAACATTGTGCATTTTTTCATACATGGAATTATAACATCACTGTAGATTCATTCATGTATAAAAAATGCTTATCTTGCACATTACTTCTACTTAATTTACGCCTGTTACTCTTCGTGAAGGAGCATAGGCCAACCACCAGCATTCTCCATCCAACCCTGTCCTGGCCAATCCTCATATCACATGAAGCATTTGTCCTTAAGAAACTTCAGACAAGCCTTACTGGCTAGTAGCTAACCAGTACCGAACTATGAGTTATTCTTAATCACGTAACATTAAAACTATCACGTCGTGAGTCACTTATCCTGGTGACTATATTGAGACTTTGTGAGTGGAGTGTGTTCAGCGCTTTAACCGGATTCCAAACAAATGGTGCACATGGGTTCCAGTATCCTGAGGTAACAAATGGTGTATGAACCAATCGTTGGTCACCGGCTACCATGGGACCGCATCTCCTCATGATGCTCCACTGCCTTGTGGGTTAGACCTTTAGGTCAAAGGCTCGGGGAGTGGCCCCCTAAGAAAACCACCTGCTTCGGTTTGGGCACCCTGGCAGTATCACAGCTCACACACACAAATATAGTGTGGCGCATATATATTTGGTGCTCTCTTGTACCAATATTTATGTGTTCAAATAATAATAATAAATAATAATTTCCTCTTAATTTGTGACAAACGAATTGTATAGAAAAGTAATAGTCTTCCGAGTATCTTACGACATTACAGTGTACTCTGATGGAAGTATGTTCATTCTTATTAGAAACAGTAACATGACCGTGTACTAATCGGATTCAACTGATAAACTCTTGTACTTTATTTTGATACTTGTGAAAATTCTTTAGAGCGTATCAGTTTTTCTCTTAAATTTTACTTAACCCAGTTAAGTTTTGCTATAATGAATGGATAATTTCCAACAAAATGTTTTACTATGAATAGGAATTATTACTTGCTTATGCCTGTTACTCCTAATGGAACATAGGTCACCAACCACCATTCTCCAACTCAATCTATCCTAGGCCTTCCTTTTTAGTTCTATCTAATTATCGTTCATTCTTCTCATGTCTATCTCCATTTCCCGGCGTAATGTCTTCTTTGGTCTTCCTCTTTTCCTTTGACCTTGAGGATTGCATGTGAGGGCTTGACTTGTGACGCAGTTGGGTGCTTTCCTCAATGTGTGTCCTATCCACTTCCAGTACTTCTTTTTGATTTCTTCCTCCGCTAGGATCTGGTTTTTTCTCTCATAGTAGGTTGTTGCTGATAGTGTCCGGCCAACGGATCTGAAGTATTTTGCGTAGAAAACTGTTAATAAACACTTGTATCTTCTAGATGATTGCTTTCGTAGTTCTCCGAGTTTCCGCCCCATACAGTAGAACTGTGTTGATATTTGTATTGAAAATTCTAACTTTGATGTTGTGTGTCAGACAGTTGTTTTGAGTTGCAGATGTTCTTCAATTGTAAGTGGGGGTTATTAGTAATAAAAAATTTGAAACTGTTTTAATCTATATTTTGAAGTTTCTAGTAATGTTAAATCCCTTCTGGTTTCAGAGTTAAACTCGAAAAAATCTAAGTTAAATTTTGATTATTGTATTGTATATACATTGGGGTTGGATATCATTGTTTAGTGTATTGTTATTCAATTGGTATTAACCACTTCTAATTTATGTCATATCAGGATGAAACAAACGTATTTGACTGTGAAGGTGGATGACACGATATCGAATCCGCCAGGGAGCACCAGTTCCCTCAAGATTACAGGTACACCTTGCTGACGAGTGCCAAGTAGCACGAAAACCGGGTCCAGGGTTTCCCGTTGACTACTTCCAACCACCATCTAAATCTCAATATATAGTGCCCGCAGTGTCGAGTCACCTAGACTGGTGGCCACATAGCATTCGATCTGCACTAATAAGGACTAGACAAGCATGACATTGATCACCACCCAGTGATCAATCAATTGTGACAAATCTAATCCATTTAAATCCACGTTGTAATAACGGTATTCTTTATAGTTTACTCATCTTTCGAATAAAATATTTATCATTAACTGACATTGCTTAAAAAATTAATGAAAAGAAAAAATGTTTAATAGCTGATTTTGTGTGTGATCAAATCTAGACTAGATCAATGTGTTTTAAGCTTTCAGTAATTCTCCAGCTATTGAGATCAGTAAAAAACCTATTAGACAATCACTGAAAACTAGGAAACACCGAGAAACTGTTTGGTACTTCTCAGAATTACATCTGCTGAAGGTAATAGATGTTTGCACTCTGTTGCGAATTGATTGTAATCAGACATGAAAATCAATGAATGTCAACTCAATAGTCTGAAGGTTAAAGTGTCACTATAAGATGTGGAAGTTTTGAGTTCGATGCCAATTCATGGATACTCACTTATGAAGAGTTGCCTATCACAATGAAACAGCTGTCTAATGCTTCTTAGTTTTCAATAGGTGTCTAGTTTAGATTGGATTGTGATCTGAATAACATTCAATTCTTTAACTAACTTCAGGTAATAATAAAAACAAACTTCAAATGAAATCATCTATCTACATTATAAATTTTTAGTAGACAACCGTTTGAAATCATAGGTCCTGGGTTCGAATCTCGCGGGGTGCGGGATCGTGAGTGCGCACTGCTAAGGAGTCCCATACTAGGACGAAACGGCCATCCAGTGCTTCCAGGTTTTCCATGGTGGTCTAGCTTCAATTGATTGATGATTTCAATCTGTGAAACTTCTAAAATCTCCACAAACCCCTTCTGATAAATATATAATTAATTTATGATTTATAATTATTAATCATTAGTTACATATACCTTTTGTTTTTCTGGGAACGTTTCTTTTTGTCTAATGATATCCGCCTTATTTCGTTATCCCTCCACCATCTACACCAACCATCTTTTCTTCATCAATTATTATATCTTCACATAATTTACCTATTTTATGATAACATGAGGTATTTGATAATCGCTTTTTCGAATGATCAATTTATCTACTTATATCTTTCTTTTGTTGGATAATTTACTATGTTAATGATGATAAGTATATATACATATCTATATGGAATGCTTATAATTAGAACGATGATGATGTTGTTGTTGTTGTTGTTGTTGATGATGGTGATGATGATAATGATGTTAGTATTAGGGAATAATAAATAGATATTCTTATGTTCTCTTTTATGCAACCGCTTTTCAATATTATTTTTGAAGTATCTGTCATGTTGTTACAATAGTCTATTAACCATCTAACACTATTAAACTCTGGTATATATATATATATATATATATGTTTCTCACATCAAAAGATATTATATGACATTCACTAACCACTCCTTCTGGGAATGAATCAAATACTTTCATTCAGTATGTTCACTATTGTAGACAACATTAATCTTATACACTCTTATCATTGATAGAAATCACAGTAATTAATTATTTAGTTTGTATTTGGAATTGTAAAATACTGTTTTCACCAATACAGGTATAGGTACAACACAATACAGTTCAATACAGTATACATATAATATAATTATGAAATGTTTGTCTTTAATTTGGTTAAGCCAATATAGGAGAGAAATAAATCAACATAATAGAGAGAGAGAGAGTGTGTGTGTGTGTGAATGTTACAAGTCAACATGAACGCAAGACTAAATTAGTTGTATAAACTTAATCGTTTCCGTTTTATATTATACTTAAAAATCAAAACAAAATAATATGAAACTATGTAACTATGGTAGTATGATTATATCAATATTATTATCATTATTATATGTATACATAGTACAAGTGATAGAATCTCTCTCTTTCTCTCATTCATCATAATGATCTTTTGAATATCCCTTCATTCTCTTTCTTTATTTTATTCAATGAATATCATTATTGAATTGTGAATGAATGAATGAATTAATTAATTAATTACAATCGTTGAACATTATTTCATTAGTAACAATAAATAGTACATTTCAAGTGAATTTGTTTAATCCTACCCCTTCCCCCCCGTGGTTGGTTATTTTAAATTACTTTTATTAAACAATTTAATTAACATTGTATAAGTGTATATTATTGAATGGTTTCATTGAAGTAAACGAATATACATACTACTCATAGTTTGAAAGAATCATTTTATGAAAGGATGAAATGGATCAAAGTAAAGATATTTTTTTAAAAAAAAAAGATTAAACCGCATGTATTTCCTTTAATCATTGTTCATCTTGAATTCATATTCCTATCCGATTCATTTGACATTGTTGTAGTTGTTGATAAGGTTGGTGTAGCTGTAATAACAGTAGTAGTGTTAGTATTAGCTGTAGTAGTAGTAGTATTAATTGAATGTGGTATAACAATAATATCAGTAATATTTGAAAATTCCACCGGTGCTTCTAAATCATGTATTGGTTCACCTTTTTCATTCCAAAATGGTGATCTTACACGTTCACCTTTACGTTGTCTAAATGCCATTACACGAAAAGCATTATTTAAATAATCTCTTAATTTACCTAAAGCCATTGGTTCAGTAAAAAAATAGCCTGAACCAAATTGTAATTGTGCTTGACGTAATACAGCACTCATTACAATTGGATCAATAGGTGCTTTACCACCGGAACCATTATAATTATGTGTAACTAAATAATGTAAACTAAATAAACTTTGTAATAGACGTAAACATAAACGTGGTCCTAATTCATGTGGTTCACCACGTACCATTGTTAAACATTTACAATATGCCCATAATGGTAATGCAACAGATTGTACACCACCAATAAATATTTCACGTGGTTCATCAGGATTTAATACAACTACTGGACGATCAATTAAATTATTATTCGTATTGTTAGGATTATTATTATTATTATGTTGATGATGATGATTACCACGTAAGTTTGATGCAGAAGAAGACAATAATCCATTAGTACTGTTTATATTGGTTTCAGGAAATTGTAGATCAGTTAAGAAATTCGACTTTAATTTTTGATCTATTATTGATGTAAATGCTGGCGATGATGATGATGACGATGGTGGTGTTGTTGTAATTTGTGATCCTAAAGACAAATTTGGCCAATGAGTATTAGGAAGATTAATTGTTGATCTACGAATAGCTTTCAATGCAGATGTTGTCATTATTGAATTGAAATGATTTGGTTTATTACATAAATGTAAACGATTATTAGATAATGAATAATTTTGTTGATATCTATTGAGATTTAAACATTTTGTTTTAAGACGTCCAAATTTATTACCACGAAAACGTATAGACGATGATGATGATGAAGATGTTGGCATTGTCGTTGGTGAAGTTGATGATGATAAAGTGGATGATTTACGATTTGAATTCAGTAAATCATTTGAAGTATATTCTGAACTTGACAAAAACATTGGTGAATATAATCGAGAGGATTTGTGCTAAATTAAAATATGGAAAAAAATAATAAGAATATATGATTGATTATAAGTCAGGTAGAACACAATTTATGAAACGATAAAAATGCCGATTGTTATTATTATTCCAATGGTTGAGATCACGAGCCAATTGAAGCTAGACCACTACCATGGAAGCACTGGATGGCCGTTTCGTCATATTGTGGGACTCTTCGGCAGTCACATCCACGATCCCGCCTCGCGAGACTCGAACCTGGGACCTATCAGTCCCATACACGAGCGCTCAACTACTAGGCCTCTGAGCTTGCCGGCATTCAACGGTGTTAATGTCTAACTTATTATTATTATTATTATCAAGAATTAGCTTTGTAAGACAGGAAAATTATCACCATATTAAAACACAACTATGTGAACGAATAATATTGTTTTCAATAATTTCTCATCACGTTCTACAATTATATATCCAAATTAGTAATTCATAGAAATAGTCAAGTTCAAGGCAGAGTACATCATTCAAAAGTATAACATGTGAATCAATGATTGTTTGTCATATAAAATCAAATCATAGATTGGTTAAAGTAAGACATCAACACCGTTGGATGCCAACCAGCTCAGTGGGTTAGAGGTTAAGCGTCCGCTCGCGAGACCGAATGTCCTGGGTTGGAATCCGGTGAGCAGGATTGTGGGTGTGCACTGCTGAGGGGTTCCATACTCGGATGAAACGTCACAACATCGTCAAAATGATTGATAACTGTGGGGTTTGTGGAGATTGCAACATTTTCATAGTTGAAGTCACCAGTCTAATTAAGTTTGACCGCCATTGAATAGTTGGAAGTATTGTATGGTCGTTTCGTCTAATTAACTAGGCCAAAATTTGGTTTATGTAAAAGGAACGGTCGAAAAAATTTCCTCTGAATGCAAATCTTCAGCTTCTTGATCCGAATAGCTATTACTTCAGCCGTCTGACGGATTTTGGCAGATAGCTTTTAACACTATATATTATTGTAATTAATTGCTCCATGTTGGCTTTACGGCGCGTTAGTACCAAATGAGCTAAAATTAAAGTGTTAACAGTTTTAACTACACTAGAGGAGTGCTCGCAAGCACGAACACTTGCCAATATAGCTTACTCTGCAAGATTAGTTGAACTGATAAATACAGAAAGAGGTGACTAATTTAGGTAATTTATTTTTCAATCTTAGAGTGACCACCGGCCGTGTGGAAAACATTAATTGTAGTTTACTTTCATTAAAAGTTTCTTTGGATTACTCTGTGCAACTTTACTATGCCAATTTCATTGAGTGTCTCACCTCTAAATATATACAAGGATGTTTTGCTCAAAGTCAGGTCTTCCTTATGCTTCCTTTTTGCTCTTTCTTACTTGTTGGGATAGTCGGAAAAAGAGACCAATAATTACCATGTTAAGTTCAATGGTGTCCTTGAACCTTAAATGTACATTTCTTATTGGTCGATGTTTATTTCACTTGTTAAATATTGTACAAATGTTGTTTCCTATTTTATGGTACGATGTGGGTTGCTTGCTTGGTATATAAATAGAGTATGTTTGAAATACAATGATTCATAACTCCGAGGCTGTGACTTGTGTTCTTCACTCAACTGGTCTAGGACGGACAGCGAAGCAGGGCCAATCAGGGCACTAGGTCGTCCGTACGTGTTTTCCGTGTCACAGATCGCGATCGATAAATACGCTGCGTATCTAAAACCTGCAGTCACACACCCGTTACAACATTACTAAAAAGGTTTGTATGGATTTTATGAAAGAACAGCGTCTTATGTATCATTACCAAGAATTGTTTGGAGTGAGTTGGATTAATAGAACAAAATATTGATTTGTAATTCTGAAGACATTCAACCTTGACGTATAACTGCCATAGTTTATTTGAAGTTCACATAATGAAATGTGCTTAATCTAAAAGGGCTTATCTAAGAAGAAACGTGAGTGTCGTCAAGATTCCATATAAATTTTGTTACTATTTACGCAACAAATCAACGGTATCTTGTCATGAGTCAACAATCATTTATTAACAAACATATATTTCTAAGAACCAGGCTCACTAAATTACAAAATCTTACAATTTATAGTTCATTACCGTTATGCGAAATGTGAAGAAAGTGCTTTTTAATCTAAAACTTATAATGATTTAGTTTATGTGCTACATTTGAGCACCAAACAATACTTACACTGACATTTTAGTCGTCCACTAGATGTTATTCTATGAATTATGAAACTAGAAAGAATCTATTAGGTAACAATATGGTTAAAGATATAGATTAACAATAATGTAGATACAGAGATCAAAGAATACTTATATAGTTGAAATACACTTTACAGTATTTAAAACATAGAAATGATTACAAAATGAGTAATATTAAATCATTCTGACCAATCAGATTAGACATAGTGACAAAGTGATTAAATTGGTTATTGATTTATTTGAGAAGTTTTTGTAGAGTTTGGAAAGGTGTTTATCAGAGTTTATTAAAATATCGATTCTTAATTGTGGGGTTTTCATTGATTTCTGTTGATCATAAATATACTTAAGTAATTTATAAATTATCTTAGTAATTTGACTTATGAATAATGATTAAGAACATATTTGTAGATACGAATTAATTCAGAATATTGATTGTACTGTTTATTATTTTTATGAATAATAATACAGTTAAATATATGCTGGCTCAGTGGTCTAGAGGTTAAGCGTTCGCGCGCAAGGCTGATAGCTCCTGGGTTCGAGTCTTGCGAGGCGGAATCGTGGATGTGCACCACTGAGGAGTCCTGCAATTGGACGAAACGGCCGTCCAGTGCTTCCAGGTTTTCCATGGTAGTGGTCTAGTTCCAATTGACTCATGAACTCAACTATTGAAATTATTATGATATCCACAAAATCCCCTTCTGAAATATCTATATGTTACTTTCCGGATGATATTTCAGACTTTTTAGTAGAAGGTCAGTTTCCTTGACGTTATGAATACTGTTTATTAGTTGGTTACTGTCAACGAGCTTAGTTTAAGAAAATAACTCATACTGAATTATGTAAAAAAAGATGTAGTTATTGGTTTGGATTGATTTTCTAAACTGAAAAATCATTTCAATCCATCAAGACCTGGATAACAGTTTCGTCCTAATTTAAGGATCTAGAACAATGCGTACACGCGATTCTAACTTGGAATCCTGAAAGGAAGCGTTAAAGAGGAAGGTCAAAGAACACATTACGTTGGTAAACAGAAGCAGATATGAAAAAAATGAATAACAACTGGAAAGTATTGCCTAGGACAAGGTTGGGTAGAGAGTGCTGGTGGCGTAGGTAAGTACACGCGACCCCAAATAAGTCAAGACTTGAACATTTACATTTTATGGTTAGAAAGATTAGTAAAGGCAAATGATACTATTTAGCAGCCTAGGTCAAATTAATTGGAAGAGCTTGGTATCAGGGCTCACCCATTCATTATTTACTGGTATATACTTTTATGGATAGATTGTTGATCCTTAGAATGACAATTATTGTGTCTAAAAAGGAATCTAAAATGCTTACGTTTAAAAATCAAAGTATAAAATGTCAACAACTTGAAGCATTTCAATTTTAGAAATGATTTCAATGATCAAGTTTGTACAAATCCGGTTACTAAAAAAGCAATTCACTTAATCATCAGATTATATATAATGAGAAAACTATATTGACTAAATGAAACTTAACTGAATTAAATATTATAACTGGCAGACATAGTATTTAGCTGTAGCAGCGAAAATAAAACCTTATATTAAGCATTCATCAGTAAGTCATTGTATTTCAGCTAATCACTGACTTAGATGTATAAAATATTCATATTTCTATGTAAGTATCTACACGCAAATGATAGAATGTTGACGAATTTTGATGGAGTTTTGATCTTTGAACTGGATAGTTTAGTCGTAGAACTCTTTATTGCTCATGTGAACAACATTATCTGAACAAATGTCGAGTGGAAGTCTTCTACCTGACTTCTGAACAATGACAGATTTAAGGTCAACAAGAACCAATCAACAATCAGGTTTACAGAACAGGCAGTAAAACATATGTGGAGAAATTCAAACACTTCACTGCTACCTAGAATTTATGCTGATGATGTCGTTCAGAAGAACAATGAAAGCCTCATGACCAAACCATCTGACTTCACCGAAATCATCCACCTTAACTTCAAATTTTCTCCACCATCTCAATATTGATGTGACTTTAGTAAATTATTTGTATTCTGCTTTAATTACATTGACATTGATTTATGAAGCATCTTATAATTAGTATCAGAAGGGGTTTTGTGGAGATCGTAGTAATTTTAGTAATTGAGATCATGAATCAATTGAAGGTAGACCACTACTATGGAAAACCTGGAAGCACTGGATGGCCGTTTCGTCATATTGTAGGACTCTTCGGCAGTGCACATCCACGATTCCGCCCCGTGAGACTCGAACCTGGGACCCATCAGTCTCGCACGCGAGCGATAAACCACTAGACCACTGAGCTCATTAGTCATCTTCTAATCGTTTAAAATTTCAGTGGAACTAAAAATGTTTGTAAAGTAATGTAAAGATAAACTGGAAAACAAACCTGAGAGTTAACATGATCATTTATCGGTAAATAGGAGTTTAATTAATTGAACGTTTTATATTAAATACGTTTGGCTAATTTTTGTTTATCCTAAGTGAAGTCAAATGTGAAAACTTAGAAAGTGATTATATACTACTAATTAACACTCATTTTGATTTAATTAAAAATACCTAACAAGCAAATAAACAGAGTTTTATCAGTGTAAATCTAATTGGAATGTTAAACAAACAATCTTCAACCATGACATTTACGCTTAGAAAATTCAATTGAATTATGAGCTCAACTATTGAAATTACTATAACATCCACAAAAACACCTTCTGATACTAATCAGTATATGCTCACTAGTGACTGGCCTCAAGAGGTATTTTCTGGAGTTCTAGTGAGAAGCAATGACCAGTGGAGTTCAACCGGGTCTATT